AACACCTCTTCAGTTGAAACTACAATGACCTCCATATTTTTGAACTGCATTGTTAGAGTAAAAAATCTCCTTGAATCTTGATGAATGGTGATTATACAGGAAAATAATTTTCCACTGGAATTTGAAATCGTTGTTTCCATTTTATAGGCTGCAGCACTTGAAGGTCAAAATGCTGGCATAGTTACAGATTACATGTTGAAGGTAGATCACTTTCGAAAACCTCACATCCTTTCAAGCAATTTTTATGAAGCCTACTCAGATAAGGGAGTGAGTGAACCCTCTTTTTCTCCATTCTTATTATTTTGCCCCCCCCGCCTCCCCCCCTTCCTCTCTCTCTCTCTTTCTCTCTCACTCTCTCTATCCGATAGACAAATATTAGGCCTGGATGTGTGTGCTGACACCAAGGTAGGAAATAGGATGGTGAGAGGAATATCGGGGGGGGCGGGGGACAGAAGAAACGTGTCACAACAGGTAACAGATATAATATGGAGAATTTCTAAATATGATTTCAATTTTCAAAATCCTCTGAGTAAACAGATTCAATAAAACTATTCAGATTTAAGCCAAATACTGCATCATGGTATTTCTTACTCCAAACACTTAAACTTGGCAGACTCTAACTTGCATAAGATGCCTAAAATTTTACAAGATAAGCCCCTGGTTGTCGAAGTTTCACAGGAAAATCTCTAAAGATTTTCTCTTAATATTACTATTATGTTTGCTAGATGGGCTATATAATTCTATTAAGACTAAATAAGATAATGATTGAAAACTTTTTCACATATTATTAGACTCATAACACTTCTTTTTCTAGAAGGAATTTATCGGCATGTTTATGGCTGAAACTCAAATTTTTGACAGTGGAGATGCTTGTTGGGCCTTCAATGGCTTTCTTTATGGATGAGATATCAACTGGGCTAGACAGATCCACTGCTTATCATATAGTGAATTCCATCAGGCAAGCAGTACATATATTCAAGACAACAACTGCAATATCACTGTTGCAGCCAGCTCCTGAGACCTACAATCTTTTCGATGACATAATTTTTCTCTCAGATGGTCAGATTGTGTATCAGGATCCTCGCGAATATGTATTAGAATTCTTTGAATCAATGGGATTTAGATGCCCTGAGAGGAAAGGAGTTGCTGACTTCTTGCAAGAAGTGAGTACCCCTAGTTGTACTCCTTAATTCTGTAAATCTGAATCTCAAATTCAGATAATCAGCTTGAAGCAAAAGGTTTTTCATAATTTTGATCCAAAATGATTTTTAGAAGCTTAATGATGCATAATTAATCAAAATTGAATTTAAAACTTCAGATGTCATACTATGAGCAATTGGGCTCTTAGAATTTTCATTCAGAGAGATTACGAGAAGCTTTAGCACGCATATTATTCCAAAAATCACATAGAGCATTTTCAAATTGTCCTATTTCAAGCAAATGTGTATTTAGAAGATTTTGAGAAGCTTAAGCACACCCTTTGTGCATGAAATATCAAGATCCAAAGGATTATGCTTTTAAGCTTCTAGTTTAAATAACTAAAAACTTGAGAGGCTCTGTGATTATCTGGTTTGTTCATGTTTGAACCTTTTCCGTAGAAGCACATGGTAACCTTCATTCTCCTGCAAGCCTCACTTCATTATATGACAAAGTCTAAGAGGATATGCTTATGAATTTCCAGGTTACATCGATGAAAGATCAAGGGCAGCATTGGTTTCACAAAGATGAGCCTTATAGATTTGTTCCAGTCAAGGAATTTGCCGAAGCTGCCCAATCGTTTCATGTTGGAATAAAAATATGTGATGAATTAGCCATCCCATTTGACAAGAGTAAGAGTCACCCTGTGGCCCTTACAACTTCCCGATATGGTGTATATGAGATGGAGCTTTTGAAAGTGTGCTTCTTGAGGGAACTCTTATTGATGAAGAGGAACTCATTTTATCATATCTTCAATGTGCAAGTAAGTAACTTTAACAGTTATTGGACAATCTCCCCCGGTCTTTTAGGCAATTTTTTCGGTCCGCCGCCTGAAAATCCAATGAAAAATATAATGAAGATTCACCACTGTTTAAATATAATTTTTAAAACATCTCCCAAGAATATCAAAAAACAAAAGTAAAATTTCCCAAGTATCTTGAGGTTTTTTCAAACTTTGCCATGCAATTTTCCCTTTCTTCATGTTTTTTTCCTTACTAATGCACAAAAAAACTATCTTGTTGCAAATGAACAAGATATTGAGGAATCATCCATATGTAAGACCAGAATTATTGGTATGTCTCTTTTCTGCATAAAAGGGAAAATTTTGTTAAAGTAGAACTATAAATGTAAGACCATAATTATTGGTATGTCTCTTTAAGAATTGAAATTGACTTTCTTTATAAGAAGATATTGATGAACTACTATGAAAGGGATTCAGCCAATTATCTCAATCGAGGGAAATCATTGAGAAATAGGAATCTGCAAGTGGCATATCCTTAAATGTAAAAAATTTAAGTTTTTAAAGCGCATGAGCTTAACACAATGCTGTCTATAACTTTAAAAAGGTGTACTAAAAGCTAGCATTTCTTTTGTCTTTCATTTTTCCTAATACTAGTTGCTTCCACTTTATCTTTATTTTCTCTACATATTTTTCAAAGATTTTCATCTTGAAACCAAAAATTTGAAGGTGTCATGTGACATTTCCCTCCCAATAATGATCACTAAACAACTAGTAGTTCATATTTTAAAAGTATATTTGCATTATTTTTGGCAGCTTGCAATTATGGCTTTCATCATGATGTCAGTGTTTGTGCGCACTAAAATGCACCGAAATACAGTTCAAGATGGAGGGCTCTATCTAGGAGCCTTGTTTTATAGTCTTTTTACACTCTTGTTCAATGAGTTTGCTGAGCTACCAATGACCATTTCAAAGCTACCTGTCTTATATAAACAAAGAGATATGCTTTTCTTCCCTGCTTGGGCCTATGCAATGTCAACATGGATCACCAAGATCCCCATGTCATTCTTGAAATCTGGTATATGGTTTGTCATAACTTACTATATTGTGGGCTTCGACCTAAATGGTGGAAGGTAAGAAAGTCATCCGTAGTAACTTTGGTCTCATTTACACTAAACAGCTACTAGAGAAATTTTAAATGGGAAAATATGAAATTTCACCAGTTATTACCAAGAATCCTAATTCCATTGAAGATGTTTAGTAATACTAATGATTTGGGTCTTTGGTCTGAAAATAAGCTATTACGAGCCTTTCTATTCTTTTTAGGTAACTGAGGATAGGGCCTCAGCCTCCATATTAACCATAAATAAAGGTTTACAATATAGATGGTTCTAAATGGCTAGAGAAGATATCGGAGAAATTAGTTGTGTATCAATTTCATCAAACGTTAATAGCAGAAGGTGATGAGTGTCTGGATTATGAATTTCTTGTGCCTAGACAGACTTAAGAAATTGGAAATCAGAAAGATGGATCGTATTTTCGGCTAAGCTAGAGAGCTGAATATAGAAAATTATACAAACTAAAGGTGACATTTTCATACTTAATTTGCAGGATGTTTCGGCAGTACCTGCTACTCTTTCTAGTAAATCAGATGGCATCTGGACTTTTTCAATTCATGGCCTTTGTGGGTCGGGACATGATTATAGCGAACACATTTGGGAGTTTTTCTATCCTTGTTGTCATGGTTCTTAGTGGTCTCATTCTCTCACGAGGTAATTTACTACAATTAAAATAATTCTGCAAACTTTACTTCCTGTTACTTCGTTCACAAAACGGGTGGTCAATAAGAGAAGCTATCTCTTTGCTTTGATTAACAGAGAAAGTGAAAAAGTGGTGGATATGGGGCTATTGGATCTCACCGATAATGTACGCGGAGAATGCAATAGCAGTTAATGAATTCCTTGGAGATCTTTGGAAGAAAGTGAGATTATCTTTAAAATATTCCATTGGTATGTGCAGTGCTTCCATATCCTATTGAAATTCCATGTTTGAAAATCTTGTGCAGGTGACAAATGGGTTGACGGAAACTCTTGGAGTGCAACTGTTGAAGTCTCGTGGAATCTTTCCCGTAGGTTACTGGTACTGGATAGGAGTAGGTGCACTGGTGGGATACATCATCCTCTTCAATGGCCTCTCCATCTTGGCTCTCACATATCTCAAACATGAGTGTAATAAACATTTCTCAATCCACTAAGTGTGATATATTTTCCTAAGGACCTCATCTGAGAATCCATGTCTTATCATATGCAGCATTTGGTAAATCCCATGTAAACATATCCGAAAGAATTGAAACAGAAGCATATGAATAGGACTGGTGAAAATTTCATGGTCGAACTATCGTCTGTTCCCTCTTTGAGAGGAAAGGCATCTATTGGTTTTGGTTGTATCGAAGGTGCATTGTTTAACAATTTTCTAAAATTATTGAGTTTGCTTATGGATTTCAGCTCATGAGAACTCTATTGAGTTGCAGGGAAGTATGGTGAAATCATGAGGAATAGCATCTCATCTGATTCAATATCAGATGGGTCAGATGCCATGGCTTCTAGTCAAGAGTGGACGAAAGGCATGGTTCTTCCATTTCCTCCTCTCTCACTCTGCTTTCATGATATCAGATACTCAATAGATATGCCAGAGGTAAAATGTGCTCTCTGTCTCTCTGTTATATTACAATAAAATGACTATATTTACCAAGAACTAAAGTGATTCAAAACAGTGGTGAAATATCTCAATGTGGGCTTTATGCATTTTCTGTAATGGTGACACTTTCTTCTTCTTTTGCAGGAAATGAAAGCTCAGGCGGGAAAGAAGATCGGCTAGAACTCCTGAAGGGCGTGAGTGGGGCATTCAGGCCAGGAGTTCTAACTGCTTTGATGGGTGTTACTGGAGCTGGTAAGACAACTTTGATGGATTTTTTAGCCGGAATGAAAACACATGGCCATATTGATGGAACTATCAGTATCTCTGGTTATCCTAAGAAGCAAGCAACCTTTGCTCGGGTATCTGGATACTGTGAGCAGAATGATTTCATTCTCCTCAAGTGACAGTCTACGAGTCGTTACTTTACTCTGCATGGCTTCGACTTTCGTCTAATGTCAACCCTGAAACAAGAAAGGTAGGAAGGCCAAAGTCTATGCTTCATCATGAATGCTCTCTCTCTCTCTCTCTCTCTCTCTCTCTCTCTCCTCCTCCTCCTACCTACCTACCTACCTACCTACTACTACTACTACTACTACTACTACTACTACTACTACTACTACTACTACTACTACT